TGAGCTACCATTTCTTACCCTTGGCGGGGAGGCCAAGAAAAGGCTGCATCAGAGCGGCGGCCCTGTCCCTGGTTACACTGGGGGGGCTGACCCTAACCCCCAAAGTCTCCCCTCCTGACTCCTCTGAAGGCCCTGGGCAGGCAGAGGAAAAGGGGGGACAGGAAGGGAGCTGGTGTCATGCTGGGTCCAGTGGGGAGTGGTGTGCCCACTCTCACACGGGGGACCCCCTCGGGCCCCTGTTCTAGGGTTTGGTTTGCTTCAGGGTGGGGGCTGGGCAGGGAGCCAGAAGGAAGGTTCCGGGCGTGGCCACTCTCGCCCGCCTCCAGGCCCTACACTTCCAGGCAGGTAGCTGGGTAGCTGTCACCATCAGGGCAAACCTCCGTTCCCTGAGTTAGGAGTCAGGCTGACAGTGACTCCACACGTAGGTCATGGAGTAGAACCAGGAGGAGCAAGGGCGCTGAGCTGAGTTCAGGTCCCAGCACCCCCACTTACTTGGGCGCATCCCTCCGAGTCTCTCTGCCCCACCTCTGCCTGTAAAATGGGGTCCTAAGGTTACCCGTAGGGGTACTGTGAGGTTTCAAAGAGAATCAACTGAAGGGTCACCCGGCTGTCTGAGCGTGGTCATCAGCATATGATGGCTGTGTTCTCATAAATGGCTTCTGGGGACTGGCATGCCCCAGTCTTTTCAGGGCGGGGTGGGGGGGTGGTCAGAAGTTGCAGTGGTGAATCAGACCTGGGCTCTGCCCTCTGTGGGGGTCCACTTAGAAGCTTTGCAGGTGTAAGAATGACATGTGCCCAAGGTAGCAAATAATAAGGGCCGGAGGGTAGGGAGAGTAGTGTGGGCTTCCTAGGCTGGGAGAGATCATTTCTACCTTGGAGCATCAGGGAAGGCTTCCTGGAGGAGGCGGGGAGCCTTTGCCCGAGCCTTAGAAGATAATTCAGAGAAGGTTATCTGGAAAGTAAGGAAGGTATTCCAGCCTGCGGCGAATAAAGGGAAGAATATCAGAGCAAGTGACCTGCTGGAGGAGGGCAGGGGCAGAATGGGAAATGGCCTTTGGACTGTGGCTTAGGGCTGCTTCCTCTGGGTGAGAGACGGAGCCTCCAAGGTCGAGCAGAGTGGGCTGGCCACACCCTGGGCTGAGCCTCTGGGTTCAGTTCTGCAGGTCTGGAAGCGGAGAGGTTTGTGGAGCCGCTTAGTGATCATTGAGTTGGGCCCTCTGCAAGCAGAGGGCCTGGCAGGTCACATTCACCGCACAGGTCGGCTTCCAGGGCCTGCTTTTAGGAACTGGGTGTGTCTAGAAAGCCAGCACTCTGGAAACTTAATCCTCCCAAAGGTCACTTTGCCTGGTCGAGTTTGGAGGAGGCCGCCGGAGACCATCAGCCGCTCCAGAGGGTCAGGGCTGTGTCTCACAGCTTCACTGATGTGGCGACACGTCCACGGGTTCCTCGGGGCCAGGCGTGTTGTGGCAAAGCTGCCATGCCCTGTAGCTGGGGCCACCCCTTAACCTTACCTGTAAAGTGCCGTGGTGACCTCTGGCCTCAGAGGACACAGGAATGTGAAAGCTTGGGGGACAGGGGAGTGCTTTAGGGATTTTTCCTTCCACGTGTGGAAAGGTGTGGGGGGAGAATGCTTCGTTTGCTGGGCTGGGGAGGGGCCTCCACGCACAGGAGGGAGGTGGGAACGGTCCAGGGTCCTCTGAATGTGTGATCAGAGTCGGGACATAGAGCCTGGGGTGGGTTGATGGAAGGCAGAGGGTTCATTTCACATGTTGTCATGGTATTGTCCTGGTCCCAGGAGGAGCAGGAAAAACTGGAATCTGGCCAGGGTGGGGAGATGAGGTGGATGGACTTGGGACAGGCGTGGGATCGCAGGGCAGGGCAGGGCCAGGACAGGCCTGGGGTCAGAGGTGGGGGGTTGCAGAGGGACACGCCCAGGGTGGAGGGTGGGGGGGCAGGGCTGGGATGTGCATGGGGACCCAGCGAGACGACAGGAGGTTTTCGCAGGCTCTGCCCACATCCGCTAGGCACCCACGGGCCTCAAATGCCAAGGCTTCCTTCTGGTTTCTGCCTGAAGCCCCTGTCCCCTGATGGGGGGGCGGGGGGAGGGCAGGAAGGAAGTCCCAGGGGAGGGGTGCCCCAGCCCTGCAGGGCCAGGTCTGCCATGAGCCTGGGCAGTCGCAGAGGCTCTGGGGACAGGGAGGCGTCCCCTTTGGCTGGGGAGCCGAGGGCGGGGTTTTGCTGCTGACTCGGGAGTGTTCTGTTTGTTGTGTTCAGCCCTGGGAGCTCGCCCCCAGTTGTGTTGGGAATGTGGACGGGGGCGCCGGGAGAGCCCGCTCGGACTGACCCGAGGTTTCACTTGCCCAGTTGCTTTAGGGGAAAGGTCTGTAAGGGGCAGGACTACCTCCCAGGGCCGCTGCTTAACTCACTTTCCACTTCTCCATGTGCCCCACCCCTGCTCCCCTTTAAGGGCAGGGCTGGGCTGGGCATCGCCTTGGGCATGAGTTCCCCCCGTGGGGTGGTCTCCCAACTGTTCTGCCCACGGGCGGGGCTGAGAGCCCTCAGTCAACCTCGGAACAAGGGCCTCAGTGGCGCCCGGCCACAGACCGCTTTCGCCAGCTTCTCTATGAGGGAAGTTGTCCTCGTTAGAACGTTCCAGTCCAGAGGGCTAACCTGCGCAGGAGCAGGTTGGGCTGGGAACGACGTTTACTGGATCCTACACATCATCCTTTTATGGCAGGGTAATTTAGGGACAATAAAACCCATCCATTTCAAACACATAACTAGAGTTTTGACAAATTAAATACCATCCCGTCACCCCCGCCACCAGCATTCCAGTCAATCCATGGGCCTCTCCACCCTCCCCCCCAGGCTCTGGCAGACCCAGCAGACAACCCGCTTTCTGTGGCCCGTGGGCTGGCCTTTCCTGGACTTTGATCAGAATGGACCCCTGCAGCATGCTCTTCTTTGCGTCCGGCTTTGTCATTCAGTGTGAGGCTTTCAAGGCTCCTGTGGTTGAGGGTCCGCAGCAGTGTGTGTGCCGAGTCATGTCCCCTGGGTGGACAGCGCACTTTGCTTCTCCAGGCACCTGGGGATGGACCTTTGGGTTGGTTGTTTTCCACTTAGGGGCTGTCATGAACTTTCACATGTGTCTTTTTTGTGGGCACACACTTATTTCTCTTGGGTAAATACCTAGGAGTGGGGTTTTTGCATAAATGTTATGTTTAGCTCTATAAATAACCAGCCCAACTCTTCCCGCTGTGTTATTTTACATTCCCCCCAGCAGTATATAAACATTCCAGACTGTACCCCACCCATCCTTGCCAACATTTGGTGACGTCAGTCTTAATTCTCCTGACTCTCCTGGGTATAGGGTGGTTTCTCACTATAGTTCTGATTTGCACTTCCTAAAAGGCTAATGACATTGAGCGCCTTTGCATGGGCTTATTTGCCATTCAGAATATCTTCGAATGCTTGATGTCTCTCTGATTTCACTTTTTGCAAATGTTTATTCTGCATCAGATTAATGTATGAACCATCTATGTTAAGTACTTAACTCTATCATATGATGGTAAGTCCTAGGGGTAAAAGGACTGTGTAAAGTTCCCCCCCGCCAAAAAAAAAAAAGTAATTGAGCATCTGTTGTTTGGTAGCTGCTGTGGTGGCTAAAGGAGCTAACTGCACATGGAGCAGGTCAAAGAGTCGTTGGAGGAGAGGGATAAAGGGGCCAGGGACCGTGGTGTGTGCCGTGTTAAATGCTTTGCAAGTGCAGGAGAGAGAGGGGCTGTCACGGCAGGCTTCACGCAGATGGCTCTTCAGGCCTGATAAGTGGGTGTTAGCAGGCAGGAAGAGGTGTTGCTGGCCAGGGCACAGCATTTACGGAGACTGGGGGGGCTTGCAGGAATGGTAGGAGGGTGATTGTCAGAGCTGGAACATAGGGGTGCGCTTCTCCGGACTCTGTTGGGTGAGGGGGTGGGCGATCCTGTGGCTAGGAAGCTGAGAAGAGTCCAGGCCTCTGGCCTTGTTGAGGGGCGTTAAGGAGACGGGGGAGGGGGAGACTGCGAGGTGGCCGGAAGAGATGGGGCTGGTTGGGGGGCAGGTCAGATGCACCCGCAGCAGCCTCCCTGGGACCTGACGCATCCACAGCCTGTAGCTGGTCCTTTCACAAGGCACTTGGCTCTGGAGCGTGTGTTGGCGGGTGTCGGGGATTAGATGCCTGGCTCTCTCTGCCCTCCTGGGAGGACGCTGGGCTCTGATGACAGAGCATCTCAGCACTGGGCCGCAAGTTTGCTGAGGCCTCCGGGCCGTGTGTGTCGGGGAATCGGGGAGTGCCGTGATCGACTTTGATAAATTGTACATTTAAGCCTGGTTACTGAGTCCAGAGCTGCTCCTGGTCTCCGATGCTGGCCCAGTTCTCGCTGCAGAGTCCAGCCAGCCTTGGATTTGAGCCACGAAAGGGAGTTTCCCAAATGGAGGGATTTGGATGAGGAGGGGGCCCCCAGCTGTCTGCCCGCCTGTCTGTTCCTGCTCCTCCAGGCCAGAGGCTCCGGTTTGGCTCAGAGGCCGCCGGGAGCCTGGGGAGAGCTGGTTCTGAACGGGGAAGACCCACTCTGGGGAGCTGGACTTAGAGAAGGCAGCAGCCCCCTACAAGTGGGAGAAAATTAAGGAGTCGTAGATTTTTCTTTTTCCCTCTAAGGAAACTTTCATGTCCCATGTGTATTTCAAAAATACATATTTGTTTGACAAGTACCGAAAGAAAGCAAATCACCTCGCCTCTTTTTTAAAAGAGTTAAATTACCTAGAATTCTTGTCACCCAGGCAGGTATGTGTATTTCTGGGATTTTCCTTACGGAGGTTTTGATGTCCGAGTGTGTGTGTGTGTGTGTGTGTGTGTGTGTGTGTCCACATGTCATCTTCCCACCCAACTCTGTTAATCCAGAGAGTGGAAGGTGAGTTTGCCTGCTCCTGGGTTGCCTGTGTTCATTCTGGTTTTGTCCCCGCAGAACCCGGCCATCGCGGACATCTACACGGAGCACGCCCACCAGGTGGTAGTGGCCAAGTACGCGCCCAGCGGCTTCTACATCGCCTCCGGAGGTACCTGTCCATCCGCACGTGGCTTCTGGGTGCATGTGGTGTGGCCCGACCTCCCCCCTCTCCCCTGAGTCCTGGGCGCCTGGCTTGGGAAGTTTGGGCGGGTGGGTGAAGGAGGCAGGAAGGAAGAAGGTCCAGGAGGGTGGGGATGGTAGGTGGGGCTGACATGGGAAGTGTAAGCCCCCGAGAAGCCCCTTTCCAGAACTGTAGCTGGCAGTGTCACAGCTGGTGCCAGCTCGGAGGTTGGCGGGGATGCTCACGTGCTGTTAGGGCAGCTGTGCTGTGATGTATCAAAGCCCATTGAGTGTGTGTGTGTGTTTCTGACTTGTAGCTTTGCCTCGTGTCGCCTTTCTCTGCCGCCCTTTTCCCTGTATCGGGCACAACTCTGGCCTCTGGCAGGCACTCATTCTCTTTGGCAGTTGGGGTCTCAGCTCCCTGCAGCCGGACTTTGTGTGGCTTGGCGGGAGGCTGGGCAAGAGGTGGGACATGAGATGCCCATGTTGTAGGAGGCTCTGTTCACCCCGATGCTGTCTTGTCTACAGCTGAGAAAGCGGGGGGCACACAAGTTACACTGGCTCCCCCTGTGTCTCCCATTCATTCATCCGTTCGTACACTCAGCAAGTGTTGACGGGCAGACTTGCCTGCGTCCAGCTGCGTCCAGGCCCCAGGAAGGGCTGAATGGATGAGCTGATGTGGGCCTTGTCAGCTTCCCCCCACCGGAGAGGGACAGGAATGAGCAAATTGCTGAATGGACTAGTGGCCAGTGGAGAAGGGCAGGGATCGTACATACCAGTGGCCGTTCGTCTACACCGCGTCGTCCGTGCCTGGGAGGCAGCGTAGAATTGTCCCTGCAGGGGTTGCCCCTTCATAGCTGTGTTGGTGGTGGTGTTATTTAGTCACTCTGTTGTGTCTTATCTCTGCAACCCCATGGATTGTAACCCGCCAGGCTTCTCTGTCCCTGGGATTTCCCAGGCAAGAATACTGGAGTGGGTTGTCATTTTCCTCTGCAGGGGATCTTCCCAACCCAGGGATCGAACCCGAGTCTCCTTTACTGCTGAGCCGCCAGGGAAGTCCTCCTACCTGTGCAAGCCTTCCTTAAAATAACTCCCCTTCCTGGGCCTTAATTTAACTGTCTTGTCTGTAAACGGGAGCTTTAGTTCCTACCAGGTTGGTGTGGGGAGGACCCTGTGCAGCAATGCCTGTGCGATGCCTGGGGTGGCCTTGCCCTGGCAGGCACCACAGGGGACCAGGGTCTGTCCCTGAAACCCCCGGACACTCCGGGGTGAGAGGCGTGCCCGCTGACGGCTGACGCCAGCCGCCCAGGGTTGTGTGTGGGGCTCAGCCAGGAGCTGGCATGAAATGGGCCCCTAATGATTTTTATGTTTAGACCTACTCTTGATTCCATCTGTAAAACTTGCTCTAATTTATATCCTATGATTTACTCTAGCCCTGTGATTCCTCGCCCCCGCCCCCACCAGCCCTGGTTTGCTTGCCAGCAGAATGCCTCTTCATTTAAAGCCCGGGGTTTGGCCCTGGTGCCTTTTAACATGTGTCTTCTCGGGAGAGGAGTGTGGTTGGCGCAGCTCGGCGGCCTGGCGCTGGGAGCCACGGCTCAGCTGCCGAGTCGCTCGCGAGCCCAGGCCTGCTCTCCGGCCCCGGGCAGGTCTCTGCACCAGCGGGAAGCGCGGTCCTCGCCTGCTGGTGCAGAGGCCGCTGGAAAGGACGGCCCACAGAAGTAAAGGCTCCGTCTCACGTTTTCCCTCTTGTGCAAGCTCTCTCCCGGGCTTGGTGGGGAAGTGAGCGGGGTGGGGCCGCGAGCCGGCGTGGGCGGTGTGTTTTATGTTTCCAGCAGGCTGGTCCTTTGAATGGAGCAAAGACCAGGAAACATTTACTGCAGAGATTAGTGCTCTGGGCTAAAGATAGTGTTGTGTGTAGAGTATGGAGCTGGAAAGGTGCTGTGCTCTCTGGCTAAAGAGGGTTACTCGGCACCTGCTACGTCCAGGGTGGGGTTGGGGGTCCCGGGACCTCAGGAAGCCTGTGGTCTCTCCCAGATAGGGCTCCAGCCTCAGATCTGTGAGTCTTTAAATCCCCCTAGGTTTGGCTGGTCCACATTCAGATAAAGGATCAAACCTTACGGAAGCCCTGCGTGAGGAGCCCAGGCCAGAGGCCAGGCCCCCAGCCCTAACTAAACCAGACAGCAGTGTATGCCTTTGGGGAACCTCGCTCCTGGCTGGTGGGCCTCAGGGTGGAGCCATTCCGGGGCCTGATTTACCTTTCTAGGGGATCTTCTCAGGCTGCTGGGGGAGGATGGTGGTTTCCTGGATAGGAGTCTCCACCCCGACACCCCAGTGACACTGGTGTGAGCCCCTCACCAAAGTGGGGACAGGCTCACCACGAACAGATCCTGTTTTGTTCCTGGATGCAGCTTACTGTCTGGGGAGAGAGCCTCTCCGGATGGTGGAAGGAAGCCTAGTGGAGGGAGGGAGCCCTTCCCCTGGCCCTGTCTGCCGCCGTGCACTGTGGCCCTGTGAGTGCAGCACATGGACGTGTGTGTGTGTTTGCAAGCAGGTGCCTGGTCTGTGCTGCACCCCCATGGCCTAATGCAGGAGCCTGGTCCCCAGGGGTACCTGGTTAGGGCTGCCCTCAGCCGATGGGGCCACGCCTGCTCTCTAACCCCTCCGTCTGTTTCCAGCCCAAGTGCTCCTGAAAAGAATTAAATGCACCAGCAGGGCCCATCAGAGGAGGCTGATGATCCAGGTTGGGATTGGGGGGCGGGTAGTGGAGAAGAACTGTGATGCCAGGCCTGTTAAGGGGGAGTGAGCTGAGGGCAGGGCAGGCGCCCCCCCGCCACCCCCGAGCCTGGGGAGGGGGAGAGCGGCTCTGCTGTCTTGGGGGTCGGGAGTGGGGCTGTGTTCGGACCCGTGCTGCTGATGCTGCTGTGTTTTCCATAACTGTGTAGCGCCCTGGGCTGGCCTGAGCACGGGGACTGCACGGCCTGGTGCACGTGTGAACGTGAGCACACACACACGTGAGCACGGGCATTAGTGCACGTGTCCTTCCTGCACACGCAGTCCCTTTTCCCTTCTTCGGCCTCTGCCCCTTTCTTGCCTTTCCCTGCCGGCCCGTTGGTTCAGCCGAGGGGCTAAACTCGCTCAGGCCAGCTTCTGAGCTCGCCTCGGACAGTGTACCAGGCCGTCTGGCTGGACCTAGTCCAGAGACCAGGGCCCCTCATCAGTGCCATTCACAGGGCAGCCCGTGTCCCCTTCCAGCTGCCCCGCGGCCGGACAGAAGCCCCTGGTGTGTGCCCGCAGAGGCGGGGTCCCCAGTGGCTTCTGCAGAGTCCTAGGCAATCCACTGACCAGTTAAAGACTGACTGGACTGCAGTGGACTGGGGGCTGGTCTGAGACTTCGCACGTGTTGACTCACTTTGTCGGCGCAACAGCCCACTGGTGGTTGGTTATCCCCCCTCGGGTGCAGTCGTAGGGGATGTTTTAGACCCCCAGAGCCGCAAGGGGCAGGGGTCGCATCTGCAGCCAACACCCGCGCTCCAGTGGACCCTAACAGAAGACCCTAGCTGTTCCCCCAGACCTCATGTTCAGTGAAGCAGCCAGGGATGCTGGAAGCAGGGCAAACAGAACTCTAGGGGAACAGGACTTCCCTCACCACCCCACCCCCGCCCCCCACCTCTGACCCACGCGGGGCTGAGCTCCCAGCCTCGAGAGTTCCTGTAAAACACTCCGCCTTTCCTGCTCTTTTGGGAAGGGGCGTGTCGGGGTTGGTGCTGGGAACCTGGTGTCAGGGTGGTGGTGGGCAGGGAGGAGGTGATGCTTTATCAGTGATCGGCCGCAAGTGCTGCAGTGAGAAGCTGGCCTGGCATCAGGTTCTGCCTGGAGTGTCATCCCTCCCAGCTCCGACCTGTGTGTCTCCTGGGAGACTGTCAGCCACTGGTGCTGGCGGGGTGCCTGGCTCTACAAGCGGAGCCTGCAGGGCACAGGGGCACCCCTCGTTTCCACCGGTCACTGCAGTGCCCACACAGGAAAGCCAGCATCACTAGGATTGTCCCGTTTTGCAAATGAAGATCTTTAGCTCCTAAATGTTACAGGAAGTTGCCCCAAGTCCGCATGCCAGTTAGACCCCCTTCAAGGAAAGGAATACAGTCGTAAATCACACTGCTTCCAGGGTTCGGGGGTTGCCACCATGCATCCCTGGGCTTCCTGATGGCCCATGCAGGGCCCATGATCCCCAGGGAAACACAGGGATCCCATGCTGATCCTCAGAGGCAGCGGGCTCTGAGTGATGGCGTCTGAGTGCTGCTTACCTGCTGGATGCCCACGCCTCCGGCCAGCCCCGCCCCAGCCAGTCCACCAGCCTGTGGGCCGAGGGCAGCGCCGCATGGCATGCCTGGAGCCCACGTGGCCCTGGCCCCGAGGTGAGCGTGGCCCTCACTGCCCCGTTGCTCCCGCAGACGTGTCTGGGAAGCTGAGGATCTGGGACACGACGCAGAAGGAGCACCTGCTGAAGTATGAGTACCAGCCCTTCGCTGGGAAGATCAAGGACATTGCTTGGACGGAAGACAGTAAGAGGATCGCCGTGGTCGGGGAAGGAAGGGAGAAGTGAGTCTGGCCTCCGCCCCGCTCCCCACTCCCACCGTCCGTGTCCCTTGCTTGGCTTTCTCTCCTGGGCACCCCGGTGGGAGGGCTCTGGTGACATCCGTGCAGCTCAGACGTGGGTGTGTGTTGAGTCCTGTGGGTGCTGGGCCTTCGATACAGCGCTGGCTTTAGCAGTGCATGTCCGAAAACCATGTGTCACCATGGGGAGCGCCCTCCACACCACCCCCGGGTTTGTCTTTGGGCCCAGGCACCTCCTTTGATCCGAAATCCCCGGCCCTTTGCCTCCTGGAACCCGTGCTGTCTTGCACACGTTCTAGATGCAGGGAGACGGAGGTCAAACCGTGGAGCTCCTTAGAGTGTTTACTGGAGTTCCTCCCAAAGCTTCCCCACCGCCACACCTGCCATGAGGGGAGGCTGGATGTGATCGCCAGGAGGGCACACCCCACACGGCCTTACTAGGGAGGAGGGACGCTGGGCAGGTGGCCCTGGACGGCTGCCTGCCCTCACAGGGCCGGTGACCAGCAGGGTCAGGACCTTGCTCCAGGTGTCTGGCTCCAGGCGCAGGCAGGGTTCCATCCTTAGCCCCCCTGCCGCAGTCCAGCACTTTGAACTTGTCTCTATTTCCCTCACTCAGGCTTTCTCTTAATGGGTGTCCTGATAGGTGTTCATCCTTCCATCGTCTCTTACGTCATCCCTGTTGGTCTTAATTCCTTCTTCACTGAGTCACAGCTCACAGTGCAGACAGCACATTTTCATTGACTGCCGACTACTCGCTGACTGCAGGGTGGCATCTTGTTTCTAGCAGGGGCTGGTAGCTGGTGTGTCTCCAACCACGCCCCCATCATTCCCCCCACCCCCTCATTAAAACGGCCGTGAAACCAGTGAACCCTGAGCCGTTGGCCTGGCTGGTGCTTCTGAGGCATCTTCACACGGGAGGCTCCTTGGGTCTGGGGCTGTAAGACACGGTCACCCGGTCCCTTCGCTGCTAGCTCTCCCGCATTTCAGACGGACCCGGGGTGCCGGTGTGTTGGTTCTTTCCGGGAGCACGTGTGAAGCACGGTCGTGAGCGGGGCTGCCCCCGCCAGCATCCCTGCCCCTGGTTGCTAGCGACACAGCTACCCGTCCCGGGGACCTGCCAGGCCTGACCTTGCTTCTCCCGTGACTCCTCTCGTTGGGTGAAGGTTCGGAGCTGTCTTTCTGTGGGACAGCGGCTCTTCCGTGGGTGAGATCACAGGCCACAACAAAGTCATCAACAGCGTGGACATCAAGCAGAGCCGGCCATACCGCCTGGTGACCGGCAGTGACGACAACTGCGCCGCATTCTTTGAGGGGCCACCGTTCAAGTTCAAGTTCACGATCGGCGTAAGTGGGCTTCTCTGGAGGGTGGTTTTAGGGGGAGCTTTGTGGCTTGTGCGTGAAGCCAGCGGAACCTAGACCTGTTAGATGCTGGTGGCAGAAGGTCATGTGTGCACAGCGTTCATGCCAGGTTGGCTGGGTGATGGTTCCAGCACTTGGGGGTGGGCAGAGAGTGGGTTCATCCTGGGACTGTGTGTGTACTGGGCGGGGGGCACATCTCTGACCAGGCGAGTGTCCGGCCCGGAAGTACCCTGTTAGGGGAGTCCAGGCCCAAGGCAGCCTGCCCTCTGGTTGTGCCAGTGTGAGGCCCACTGAGCCACCAGCATGGCAGAGGAGCTGAGCTCCAGGGATGTCTGGGTCTGTTCCCTCCGGCGCCTCCTGGGAGAAGGATGAGGGCAGGGTCACACCATTAAGGTGACACGTGGTGAGTAGAGTTGGGTGCTCTCCTGTGGGGCGTGCGCTAAATGCCGAGTGGAACCACACAGCCTTCTGGTGTGAGTGACTGCAGGGCTTTGGTCGCCGCAGCTTTGCACGTGGGCCCGACCCTCTCAGCCTCACTTGATCCATCTGCAAGATGGGCGTGGGACACAGGCGTGAGAGATTTTAGCCATGGAGTTGAGCTGTGCACAGCTCCCTCCCTGGGTCCAGAGTGGCCCAGAGGCTCATTTCCCGCCTGGGGTCTGAGGCTGGAATATAGAAGGCAGGGCACCACCTGGGGATGGCCCACTGGTGAGTCTCGGGGTGGTCATGGTTCCGAACCTGCCCTCCCAGCGTCTCTTGTGAAAACACTGCAAGGCCCTCAGCCCTGGTGCTGGAGGTGGACGTGACCTTGCTGAGCTGCAGAGTGGAGGACACTCGGCCCTTTACAGTCGGCTGTGTCCCATGGAGGTGGCTGAGCTGGGCTTGGCCAAGGTCCGGGGACATGTCCAGAATGTTAGTGGCTTGCTGAGGAGTCTTATGAATTATGATGATGATTCAGTGAGTCATGAACAGTGGGCAGGGTGTGGCTGGACGGTGGTGAGGGTTCTTGGCGGGCCCCTGGGGTGTCCCGGGGATGGGACCCGGGCTGTGGGCAGCATTTCTGGACACGGGTCTTGGCCCGGCTGCAGAGGGGCTTCTACAGGTTCCCCGTTGGTGGTGAAGCGGGGTCAGTTTTATCCCAGGGCCCCCGAGCAGGCTCTCTGGCTGGCTGCCTGGGAGGCACAGTGGGCGTGGCTCCTCTGCCCTTCAAGGCGGACAACCTGGAGTCCCCCGACCCCCCCAGCACCTCCCAGAGGCTGGCCCCCGAGGCTACTAGTCAGGGTGGGGTGGTGTTCAAGGTCATGTTTCCTGAGCGGGATAAGGTGCTCTGGAGCACGGGTGAGTCATGCTGAGTCAAGTAGCTGGGCTCCCTGCGCGGTGCCCAGCGGAGGAAGGAGGGGAGGTTTCCGTGGCAACCAGAGACTTTCCCAGCTCATTCCCTTGGAGCTAGCCCGCCCAGCTCCCCACGCCCCGCACACACGCTGTTTGTTTTTACTTGGCTGAGCTGTGGGAGGGCAGGGCTCCTTTCCATCCACCCCCTGCCGCCCCCTTCAACCCACCCAAAGATTTAGTTGCTCTTTGCAGATGTGGGTTAGACCCAGCAGCGCAGTGGGGGGTAAGTGGAGCCAGGATTCTTTTCCAGACCTGACCCGAGCCTGTGCTCCTCGCCTCTGCCAGTCTTCTCTCCATCGTACGTGTGCCTGAGGAAATGATGGCTCACCTGGGGACCTGGCCGAAGGTTCTTCCCCTTTCCACACTCCTTTTCCATCTGGGAGCACCACCCTCGCCCCACGGCCCCGGCCGACATCTGTCTCCAGGGTGGGCATGCAGCTTGTCCCCAGGTCTTCTGTGTAAGGACCTAGCAGAGATCAGAAGGGGCTGCGGACTAGAAACGGGGTCCCTGGGTGGCAGCCCAGCGCTGCAGCTGGCCAGTTTTGCGGCTGTCGGGCTGGCCCTGCCTCTGAGCTCCTCCTGGAAACGGGGTGAGGACAGCCCTCCTCCACGGCCCCCAGAGCTGTGGGGATGAAAGGAGAGGTGCTGTGACTGTCCATAAGAAGCTGTTGGGCTTCTGTTGGAAAGATTCGAACAGGCTCGGTTGGCCTCGAACAGAGAGGACAGGCGGACGCTCGGCATCCCCACGCCCTCCTCAATGCCTCCTAAGGGGCTGATGGCAAGATCAGCCCGTGACTGCTCCGTGTGTGCCTGGCCTCGGCCGTCGTGGCCCCAAAGTAAATCTGTAACGTGAGGGCCGCCATTGGTCCGCGTTCTCGCTCCTACCATCTTCCTCCTGACCACGTTTAGGGCCGTGGGGTAAGGGGTGGGCATTTTCAAGGTGCTGCCTCAGAAAGGAGTAGCTGGTGTTCCGGATCAACTCCCAGGAGTTGACCCGCGTGGAAGGAAAGCAGTGTTACAGAACATGTGGGCTGGCCACCCGCCCACCTGCCGGCCTGAGTGCAGGGGTCCTGTTGTTTTTCCTTCTTGTTCAGCGTTTGTTTAAAACACCTTCTCCTGTTGGCAGAGCGAGAGTGGAGGCAAAGCTGAGTCGTGCGCACCTGTAGCCAGACGGTCCAGGTTCCGGCCCGGCCCGCCGTCCTTGTTTGTCTGAACCTGAAACAGGCTGAGAGGCTGCAGGAGCACCGGTTGGAGGTGCTGAGATTCCAGTTCCCCCTGGAATTGACCCCAGCCCGCCCGGGGAAGCGATGCCAGGGTCCAGGGACCAGCTGTGAGACAGAGGCCGTGGGCAGCAGTACCCTGTGCCCGGGGCTTTAGGTTCAAGGCCCTCAGGGTGGCCTGAAAAGAGAGCGGGCGGACCTTGCCCATCCCTGCCTCTCCCACGGGGCCTTCTCCCTGCGGAGGGCATCCCTGGGCTGGGTGCGTCTGGGTGTGTGGTCACAGGCCCGCTAAGCATTGCTCGCTCACCCGCCTGTCTGCATCTGGCCACCTGTGGCCTTGGTGAGTTTCCACGCTTCTCCAGCCTCTGTCTCCTCCTCGGGCAGGTGGGCAGGTGGGCACTCCTGGAGCAGACACCTCTGTGACTGTGTCCACCGTCCGTTCCATAGTATGTGTGCCTGATGAAATGATGGCTCAGAGCAGGAAGCGTTGGGGCCTTCTTTGCCCCAGGCCCACTCATCAGACTGTGGCCGTGTGGTCTGGGACTGGAAAACTGCCCCACCGCGTCTCCCCAGGCCTCTGAGAGCAGAGTGCACCCTGGTGGACGCCTGGCCTCCCCTTCACCCAAGTGGGCTGCACAGTCAGTCTGGCACCTGGGTGTCGCACACATCACACCATGGGAGGAGCTGCACTTGCTTCTAGAACCTTGGTCTTCACTGTAATTGCGAGTATCACCTTCCTAGACACATAAACTTTGAGCTTGAATGTGTGAGGTTTCCGGGCTGTTGTGGTTTCCCGTGTCCTTATGGCAGGGCAGGAAACAGCTTTGCGTTCAAGTGCGTCTCAGATGTCCTCCCTGCACTGGCCCTGGCCTGGGCACACAGCTGACCTGAGCGGTCCTTAGCCAGCACAGCCTCGTGCCAGCTTTTCAGAAAGCTGTGTGCGTGTCCATGGGGGCCATGCCGGAAGGTCCGTGGGGCAGGGGGTGACCCAGCCAAGCTCTTTGGATGGTCAGTGGCCTAAGGAGGGTTCGAAGGAGCCTTTTCATTCTCCATCAGGTCCAGTGGTCACTCTGGGCAGGTCTGTGCAGGGCAACAGGAGAGGCAGGGGAGGAATGTGGTGCTGCCCCTCCAGGCACTTGGCAGAGGGACCCGACCTCGCAGAGGGAGAGGGAGCTGGCTTTCGGAGGGGGTGTGGGCTGAAGGGGGCAAGGCAGCCTTCCAGGTCAGGATGGACACCCACTCCTGGGGTGCTGACCACAGAGGCACCTGCTGCCCTCAGGGAGTGTGGGGGCGGTGGGCCGGGGCATCCAAGCTGTTTGGTCCCTCTGCAAGTCTGTGATGCAGGATCAGGGGCAAGTGACCCAGGGTTTCAGCATGCAGGTAGGAGTCCCGCTGCAGGACTCCGCCAAGGCTGGTGAAGCCAGGGCGGGCTCTGGGGACACCCGAGCTGACAGGCTGGTCAGCGGTGGAGCCCGGTGGCTCTGTGACCCCGTCAGTGACTGGACGCGGTGCATTACCTAATTACTGCTGGTGGCTCCCATCTCGGGTTTCTCAGTCATGGGGGGAAGGGTGATGGGGGAGCAGTAATGATGGGGGGGGGATAATGATGGGTGTAATGACATGGGGGAGGTAATGATGGGGCACAGGTAATAACAGGGTGGGTGGGAGGTGATTAGAGTGGGGAGGTTCTTGGGAGTGTCCATTGACACTGCCCCAAGCAGAGCTCTGGCTTGGCTGTGCCTGGGGCTGGGTGGAAGTGGGCCAGGCAGGACAGCCCCCTCCCCAGGGGCCTGCAGGATGGTGCCGCCCCTCCAGGAATGTAGGGGGTCCGGGGCTTCAGAGCCCAGCTCTGTCTTCTGAACCCTCCGTGATGTTTCCCCCAGCCTGGTCCTTTGTCCTCTGGCCTCCCCTCCCAGTGGAACCAGCTATTTTTAGCCCCATTTTTTTTTTTTTTTTTGGTTAATGCGCTGCTCACTGTTCCTCCCTTTAAATTGGCTATTTTCAGGAGCAGACATCAGTCTCCCGCTCATCTGGGCTCTTGGCTCCAGTGGCAGGAAAAGCTGACGGGGAGACTTTCTACAGCCACAGCGCCTGGTCCCCGGGGGTGGGGGTGGGGGGACATCTGACCCTTGCCCGGTAGCTTGCTTGGTTCAGGGGTGGGACGACAGATAACAGACAGGTCCACACGTGTGACATCCCTGTAGGGTTGGGGGCGTTGAGGGCGGCAGGCGGGCAGGGGAAGCCCCGGTGTCTGTGCTGACCTCTGAGCTGGGTGTGTAGGGAGGCTAGTCCTGTTTTTCAAGGAACCACGGTACCCAGAGTTGGACAAGCCGGCATTGCAGGGTGACCCAGGGTCCCCCTGGTTCATAGCGTGTTCCTCACTCCCCCCAGCATATCCCCCCCCCTCCCCCCCGTTGGCCCCGTGGTCTGCTCCACCGCGGGGCGCTCTTGGTATGCCGGATCAGTCACAGGGACCCAGGGGGGCCGGCCCAGCCCCCTCCCTCACCCACCTCACCACCCAGGAACCCAGAACAGCAGGGTGGGGTCAGCCAGTAGAGGTGTGGACAAGAGGACCAGATGTGTGGGCAGGCGTGCAGAGCAGTGGTTGGGTCGCTTTTCCTCTGACCTCATGCAGGAGGAGCCGCGTCTGCCTGTCTGTCCTCCCATCCCCACGGGGTGGTCCTGGGAGGACTGAGAGACGCCCTCCCACCACTCATCCTGAACCACACAAGGGACACAGGCCAGTCGAGGCCCAGGCTCCCTCGCAGCTCTGGGGATGGCAGGCCGCTGGCTGTGGGCCTGAGGAGTTAAGGATCGACTCCCGGGCTCCCTGCCCGACTGGCCTGCCTGCCTGCCTCCTGTCCAGGGCCGAGAGCCAGAGCTTACACGGGAAACTGGAGACCTGGGTTCCGCTTGGGGCCTGGTTGTGCCCTAGGGAAAGAAGGGTACCCGAGGCTCCCCAGGGCGTCTCAAGGTGGTAGGGTGACTGTGAGCCACGGTCGTGGGGAAGGGCAGTCAGAGGGCCCAGTTGGGAAAGTTCATTCATCTTGATGGATCGCAAGCCTGCAGGGAGATAGCTGTCCTACACCTAACTCAGAACACGAGCCTGAGAGCTGGAAAAGTTGGCCTGAGAAGCAGGATAAGTGGACGTGATAAAGGAAAAAGGCAACACAGGCTACCCTGGGACGGGGTGGGGGGGGGGGGGGGGGCGGCGTAACCTAGTCTCTGCCCCCATCTTCACGTTGAGAGAGCCAGTTCCTAGGCAGGTCGATAAGTCCGGGGGTCCCCAAGGAGAGAGGGGTCTGGAATTCTCAAGGAGGAAAGGACAAATTTTTTTCCCTCTACATTTCTTAGGATTATGTAACAATACTGTATCCTGCTTGAGGACCATTTCTGGAAAAAACCTTCTGGCTAATCCTGTTATCTTAAAATGTAAATTATGGGAGTGGGTCTAGTAAGGTCTTTATAGTCTCCAGAGATTATTTTGATTCCTTGTAGTTGGAGAAGGAAATGGCAACCCACTCCAGTGTTCTTGCCTGGAGAATCCCAGGGACGGCGGAGCCTGGTGGGCTGCCATCTATGGGGTCGCATGGAGTCGGACACGACTGAAGTGACTTAGCCGCAGCAGCAGCAGTAACTGGTTAAAAGTATATAACTCCGTTGCTAACACTAACGAGGGGGCACTCTTTCTGCCCCTTTTGATGTCTATGTCAGAAGCTTTCTCTCTCTCTTTTATATTTTGATAAAACTCTATTACACAAAAGCTCTTGGGCGATCAAGCCTCGTCTCTGGCCCTGGATTCAGTTCTTCTCCTCCAGAGGCCAAGAATCCTGCATCTTCTGTGGTGCAGCAACAACCTTGCAACGTGGTGCCCCAGTGTCTGCGCTGAGTCCAGGTTTCCCTCTCCCCACGAGGACCCCTGTAATGTTGGGTCAGGGCCTGCCCGCCCTCCGGCTTGTTATTTCACCATGACTACACGCATAAAGACCCTGTTTCCAGTGAGGTCACGTTCACAGGTCCTGGGATTTCAAACCATCGATAAACTTTATACACAAGAACATGCAACTCCTTCCAGCCCAGCAGCTCAGGCTTTAAAACTGTCGGTGGTTTCCCTCGGCAGGGGCCGGTGATTTGCATTGAGTCAAATGGCTTTTCCTGCAGGTGGGGCATCTGTGGCCAAGGGTGCAGGTGACCCCGTGCACCTTTAGGAGAACTGACAACACCTGTCGCTTCGTGCGTGCTTGCAGGGGGCAGGGCTCAGGCTGTGGATTGGTGGCTTGTGGGGTTTTCAGAGGATCACTCTCTGATGCAGTCCCTCCTTGACCCAGGAAAAAACGACTGCATTTACTCTTTCAGGTAATGGAATTACCTCTGGAGGTCACATCTCCTCAGACTCTTATTGCCAGGAAGGTCATCACCACTGTTTAATTTCTTTGAAACCTCAGTTCGTTCAGCAAATGCTCAGATGAGCGCCTGCTGTGTGCTGGGCCCCAGGCCAGGCTCCGGGAACTCAGAAACAAGGCCTCACAGTTAAGCCTCACTCAGCATAGGGGTTCTGAGCTTGAGTGGACTTCAGAGTCGGAGGGAGGGTGGCATTTCTGTCTGCAGACATCAGGGAGCATGTACTCACAAAGGAGGGAGGCCTGGCAGGCAGAGACGGGCCCGGCTGAGGCAGGGGGCTGAGCCAGACCTCCCGGCGTGTCTGCTCAGGGCTCCTGCCGAGCTTGGAGGGCTCCCGTGGATTGGCATTTGCATGCATGGTGGTTGTGGGCCTCAGAGCTCATGGAGAGCTTTCCCGAGCTGCCTGTCCCTGGATAACCGTCCCGTTTCCTGCAGGACCACGGCCGCTTTGTCAACTGCGTGCGATTCTCTCCCGACGGGAACAGATTTGCCACAGCCAGTGCCGACGGCCAGGTGAAGTCTGGGACCCGGGAGGTGGGGCGGTGCTTCGATCATCTCTTGGGCCTCTGGTTGTTGGGAACAGACAGACTCAGTGAAGCTGGTCTCAGTGGGCAGCTCCCTCCCACCCACCCTCCCAGGATGTGACTCCATCTGATGCTGTGTCGTCAAAATGTGATAACCCCACCTCTCTGTCAGTCTCCTTTTAAAGGAGCTCGAGATTCATCCAGTTTTGATGAATTCCTGTAAAGTCACAGTTGCCAACCCTCTTCATGGTGAAGTGGGGATGAGTGGGAGGAGCTCAGTCAATGTGCTGACAGCTGGGTGTGCACACACATATACGTGATCCACATGTTTGTATTTCCTGAAAGATCTTCATCTATGACGGGAAGACAGGAGAGAAAGTGTGTGCGCTGGGGGGAGGCAAGGCTCACGACGGCGGCATTTACGCTGTGAGTATGGGTCCGTGTTCACGGCTTGCTCTGTGGTTGTCATGCTTGTCTGATTTTATCATTATCTCTATGCATGTTGAAGTTGGAGGCTTGAGATGAGGGGTCAGAAGTGAGGGTGCTGGCAAAGGTCAACGCGGGACAGGGTGTCGTGGCCTGCAGAAGCCCGTGGCCGGGATGCTCGTCCCGTCCTTGCCCTGTGTGTCCCACCACCTCCTGGACTGTCGTCCCTGCTCAGACACCGGGGTTGTGGACACAGCCCCTGTGTCTGAATCTCTTCCCCCCTGTGGAATGCTCTCACCCGTGACCACCATTCGTTTGAGTAGATCAGCTGGAGTCCGGATAGCACCCACTTGCTCTCTGCTTCCGGAGACAAAACCTCGAAAATCTGGGATGTCAACGTGAACTCGGTCGTCAACACGTTTACCATGGGCTCCAACGTTCTGGACCAGCAACTAGGCTGCTTGTGGCAGAAGGACCACCTCCTCAGCATCTCCCTGTCCGGCTACATCAACTACCTGGACAAAAACAACCCCAGCAAACCCCTGCGGGTCATCAAGGTAAGGCCGGGCCACAGAGCAGCTCAGCCTGCAAGGGCTGGCTGGAGGGGAGGCAGGCATCCGACCGGAGAAGGGGCAGCTGAGGCGAGGTGGAGGCCCAGTGGAACGGCAGGACGTGGGTTGCTTTGGTTATGTGAGTTTAGCAGAGAAGAGAGGCCAGGCGCCAAGTTCCCCCTGAGCTACTGTGAAAGCTGGGCATTCAGGGCCGTGGCCCTCGCCCCTGCTCTCGTGACTCGTTTGTCCCGAGGGGCTCAGCCTTCCTCGGTTAGGAGCCCACCGGCTGTGTCCCCTGCATCAGGCAGGACCAGGAAGATGCTAAGTCCCGAGACGAGGCATGTGGCGGGGTGTGGCCGCAGTTGTGGGGGGCCCAGCTGGCCTTGGAGCTTGACCAGGACGATGTGCAGGGTGTGAACGTGAGAATGAGTGGGGAGGCACTGTTCCATGTGGTTAGGGCAGGGTGGGCACCAGGGAGTGGTGGGGAGTGGGGACTTGGAAACGGATGTGGACTTGGAGAAGCCCATGGAGTCCTCAAGGGCAGAGGCCCAAGGTGTGGGCAGCAGGGAGCGATACTGCGGGGCAGTGGGGAGGACCCCCCCTTCCCTGCCTCCCGTCCTCATCTCATCGGGACCACTCACCCAGGCCAGCTGGCCACCAGCATCTGCCCCGAGTGTCCCATCCAGGTGGGGCCGTGCCTTCTCCCTCCCTCAGCCCTGGGGATAGTGGTGTCTCAGGAAATTGCAGCCAGACTGGGACCTCCTGTGTCCTGGGGCCCTGCTCTGCTGCTGGGTGGGTGCTCAGGGTTGGCCTCGCCTGCCCTGGCGGCCTTGGGTGAGCCGTGTTCTCAAGGGAGGGGTCTCCATAGCGCGGCTTCAAGCGGCTCCCCATCCTGGGGCTTAACACCAGCACCTCCTCACGCCCTGCTCACTCAGCTGCTTTAGGGCCATGCTGACAGCCTCCGGGAGGCGCCTGGACCCCGAGGCCTGGGTGTAGGCCAGGCTGGGATTATTCCCCGGGGGCCCAGTCCCTCCCGCAGTCAGTGGGTTGCCGGCTGCCTGGCCCTGCAGCGTGTGTGCACCCCACAGTCCGTGAGGTGGCGGTTTTCGTGGGCTCGGGCTCCTGATGACCATGCACACAAGGCGGGTGCCAGGCCAGGCCGTCTGCCTCCTTAGGCCTCGTGTGGTTAGCTCATGAATCCCGGGGGGTATTTGGTGCTAACGTCGGGCTGCGGGTGAGGCCAGGGACAGGCTGGAGTTAAATCAGCTCTTCTCAGCACGTTCAGGTCATCTAGAAGTTTCCATGAAGGGCTTGATGCCTGGCCAGCCCCGTCGGGATGTAGTCAGAGACTGTAAGAAGCTCTTAGGGGCTGATACTTGAAGATGCGCCCAGGTGATCCTGTGGCTTGAGCTGGAAGCTACATCAGACTCGAATCACCTGAGCGGGCCCTCTTGTTAGAACACGGCAGCTGGGCGGCACCCAGTGCTCACAGCGTTCATCTGTGGGCCGCGGGAGAGCCCCAGTGCTCACAGGCTCCTGGCAAGGCTGCTTGCTGCCCCAGAGGGGGCGGGCCAAGTCCCCAGGCATCCTGCTGCTCACAGGTTCTCTCTGGGTCCCCAGGCTGCATGGGGTGAGACTCCCGGTGAGGTCAAGGGTGGTGTGAGGGCCACGCGTTTAAGTAGAAGGCCTGGTGGGTCGCTGCCCTGTGGGAAGGATTCAGGGTCCATGAGAACTATGTGTACCTTATCTCTGATGATACACGTCACATCGTGGCAACAGTTAGCGGTGCTCAGAGGGCTCCGCTGCATCTGAGGAGGAAAGGGGCTGTGATTAAACCCCATCTCTTAGGTTCTTTCCATCCCAGGAGCAGTTAGTTCAGTTCAGTCACTCAGTTGTGTCCAACTCTTTGTGACCTCATGGACTGCAGCATGCCAGGCTTCCCTGTCCATCACCAACTCCCGGAGTCTACTCAAACTCGTGTCCATCGAGTCAGTGATGCCATCCAGGCATCTCATCCTCTGTTGTCCCCTTCTCCTCCCACCTTCAATCTTTCCCAGCATCAGGGTCTTTTCAGATGAGTCAGTTCTTTGCATCAGGTCGCCAAATATTGGAGTTTCAGTTTTAGCATTAGTCCTTCCAATGAATAGTCAGGACTTATTTCCTTTAAGATTGACTGGTTGGATCTCCTTGCAGTCCAAGGGACTCTCAGGAGTCTTCCCCAACACCACAGTTCAAAAGCATCAATTCTTCGGCACTTAGCTTTCTTTATAGTCCCAACTCTCATATCCATACATGACTACTGGAAAAACCAAAGCTTTGACTAGATGGACCTTTGTTAGCAAAGTAATGTCTCTGCTTTTTAGTACACACATCACGTTGTGGCAGCAGTGATGCTCAGAGGGCCCCAGCTACATCTGAGGAAGGGAAAGAGCTGTGATTAAACCCCACCTCTTAGGTTCTTTCCATCCCAGAAGCAGTTAGAAAGGGAGGTTAAATGCCCCCTTTCGAAGCAGGAGTCTGGTTGTAGATGAGTTGCCGATCGGGGAGGGATCACTGACCTGGGACTGCCCTGGTTGTGAGGGTTACAGCCCTGGTTGGGGGAGGGGTCTCAGGAGAGAAGAATCCTTCCGAGCCTGGGGCGGCAGCTGGAGCCATAAGCTGTGTCTCTGGGTGGAGACTCTGGGCCATCCAGTGGCCTTAGGGTTCTGCTTCTGCCAGGGTTGGGCCCCCAGTACTGCTCCTTCACCTTCCTGGAGACCCAGCCCCAGGTGGGGGCTTGTCCTCCGTGGCTGGGGAGGTGAGGGCGGCTGCCTGGGTCAGTCTGCACAGACCTGGGCGCTCTGCTGGGGCTCCCGCTAGACCCCTGTCCTCCACACAGGTCAGGGTTAAGTGCCTGGGTGGGGAGGGACCCAGATGTCAAGGGGACGGGTCAGCCGGGGGTGGTGTTTCAGGCCCACAAGGACAGTGGCCTCTCCCTGGGGCTTAGCCGGCGGCAGTGAGCATTTGACAGTTACCGGCTGGACGCCGGCGTGTCCTCAGCTCACCCCGCCCATCTGTCTCCTCCGCAGGGTCACAGCAAATCCATCCAGTGCCTGACGGTGCATAAAAACGGCGGCAAGTCTTACATCTACTCTGGGAGCCACGACGGACACATTAATATCCTTTGACTCACAGCGCTGGCTCCGCGGGCCCTGGCAGGAGAGATGGGAGCTTCCTGTTCCCACGGGGCCATGGGCCAGGCTGGCCAGGTGGTGGCCACGGGGCTCCTCTGCCCGGTCCTGGCCGCCGAGAGGTGGCCTAGTCCTCACTCGGGCCCTCCAGCTCTGGGTCACGACCTTGACCCGATGGCTCACTCGCTGTGCAGCCTTGAGGGGTTGGTTGCTGAACTTCCGTGTTTGTGACCTGGTCCCGGCCTCACCCCTCACAAGCAGCAGAATCCACATGCGTTACGATCTGGAAGGACTTAGAGCCTTTTAGGGGGTAGTCCCCTTGTCTTAAAAACGGGAAGAGCAAAGCTCAGACACCTTTGAGTGGCTTCCACTTGGCTGGGCAGAGCCCACGCCCCGTCCCCCGGTGTGGGGTTTTGGGGTCCCCCCGAGACGTTCCCAGCAGCCCTTCCAGCCCCTCCCTCTAGGATGGCCAGTGTTGGAGGGGTGGTCTGCAGGGCCTGGCTCGGCGAGGCATCGTGGCCACCTGAGAGGCCTGCCCTTGGGCCGCCCAGCCCCTGGCCCGTGGCTGCCTTGCCCCTGGAGGGGCTTCCCAGGCCCTGCGCTTTTCCCCCACCTCTGTGAGCCTGCCTTGTTTGCAGGGTTCCCTCCTGGGAATGGTCCCCAAGGGAGGAGGGCAGAGGTCCCCCTCCACCCCATCAAAACAGAAGAGGGTATGATTGGGGTCCTGCCCCGTGTCCCCCGACTCTGGGCACCATGCCCTCCTCCCTTCTCGTCCCCAACCCGGGCACCCCGAGCAGACGGTCCACACCCTGGCACCCAGCTGGGTTAGCCTGGGACTGGTTGCCGGGTGGCACCTGGGCGCCCATCAGCCAGTCCTCACGGCACAGCCCACCTCCCACTGAAGGTGCTGGGCTGGACAGCAGGCAAGAGAGAGCGAGGGGGTCGGGGCATCGGCCCAGGTATGCGGGGTCCCCACAGGGCTTCCTCCTGGACCCCCTCGGACAGAGGCACCACTGCATTGTGGCAGGGCAGCGCCATCCTGCCACCTGCCCGGTTCTCGTTCTCGAGACGGGTGGACTCTCCCACTGGGTGCCCTCTTGCTGGTTGATCCCAGCGTCCACTCCCTGAAATTTGGAGCTGAACGTGCACGAAGAGGTTCACTCGGCCCGGTGCCCACCGTCCCATCCCTAACGTGCTGCCTGGGATGGGGCACGGGCCGTGGCCTCCCCAGGGTGGGCACACACCACATCCTGTAGCCAGGCTCTTCCTTAACCCCCTGCCCCACATTACTGGGATTCCGAGACGGGGGAGAACGACTCCTTTGCCGGGAAGGGCCACACGAACCAGGTGTCCCGGATGACCGTGGACGAGCGCGGGCAGCTGGTGAGCTGCAGCATGGACGACACGGTGCGGTACACCAGCCTCGCCCTGCGGGACTACAGGTGAGCGCTGCGGGGCCGCCAGCCCGGCGGCGGCGGGGTTGCCCTCGGGGGGCCCGTGCTGCTGCCGCCGCCCCGAGGCCAGGCTGACCAGCGCACCCAGGGCAGAGCCACGGGCCGCCCGCCCTGCCGCAGGGGCCCCTTCACCCCGCCTGGGAAGCACACGCTCGGCTCAGTTCTGTGGCATTTTCCTCCGTTTACCATTCGTTAAGAAGTGGTTTGTGTGTGCAGATTTTTCTGGGATGTGTCTTTGTAGTTTTAACCAAAAGTGCTAAGTCCCTCAGTCGTGTCCAACTCTTTGCAACCCCATGGACTGTAGCCCACCAGGCTCCTCTGTCCGTGGGATTCTCCAGGCAGGAATACTGGAGTGGGTTGCCATGTCCTTCTCCATTAACCAAAAGTAAAGGTGACAATTTTCACCCATCCCATTAAAAGTACCAGTTTTATATATATATATATATATATTTTTTTTTTTTTTTCTTTTTTAAATTACATTGTGGAGGAGACTGGTTATGGCCGTGGAAGAATGGGAAAGTGAAAGTGCTAGTCGTTCAGTCTTTTCCAACTCTTTGAGACGCTATAGACTGTAGCCTGCCAGGCTCTTCTGTCCATGGGGATTCTGCAGGCAAGAATACTGGAGTGGGTTGCCATGCCCTTCCTCCAGGGGAATCTTCCCAACCCAGGGATTGAACCTGGGTCTCCTCCATTGCAGGTGGATCCTTCACCATCTGAGCCAGATTCTTTGGGAGGTTAGGACCAGAACTGAGTTCTTTCTGAATCCAGAGAGTGCCAGCCGGGGTGTCTGGCCGGTGCACGTGGGGCCTGACCGAGGACAGGGCAGCAGTGGGGGGCAGCCCTCGGTGCAGATGTGGGAAGTGCTCCTTTCACCTCCTCTCGCCACCCCCACCCCTCGTCCCAGCCCCCCGTCTCGACTCTGTTTCTCTCCTAGAGTTGGGGAGTCTTTCCTCCTTCCCTCCCGTGTCTGTTCGGCAAAGGCTCCTTCAGCTGTGATCGGGCGGAATTCCCACCCGTCACCGAGGGGCTGTGGTCCTGCCCTGAGTGTGTGTCTGTGCCACCCCTGGAAACTAACGCGTCCTTCTCTCCACAGTGGACAGGGAGTTGTGAAACTGGACGTCCAGCCGAAGTGCTTGGCGGTCGGCCCCGGGGGCTACACCGTGGTCGTGTGCATTGGCCAGGTACGGCTCCCACCCGGGTCTCACCAGAAGGTCCGGGCTGACACTGCGCAATACTTGCTCCTCACGTCCATCCACAGCCGTCCACCCTGTCTTTACCGAGAGCTCTCCTGCACGTGCTGAGGGCCTCCCACGTGTTCACTGAGTCCTCAGCAGCGCCATCAGCTAGGCCGGCGTCATCCCCACCTCACAGGTGGGGAAACCGAGGCACAGAGGCTAAGCCGCCCCAGGGCTGCGTCCGGCAAAGGGCAAAGCTGGGATTTGAACCCAGGCAGCCTGGTCAGAGCCCACACTGAAGGGTCGGATGCCCCGCAAGGGGTGGTCCCTCAGCCCTGCGGCCCCCGAGAGGCACAGCCCCTGTGGCTGTGTCCACGCATTGCAGACCCCAGCCCTGCCGCGCTTGGCGCTGTGTGGCTTGGGGCGTTTCCCTCGCCCTCTGAACTTTAGTTTTCTAGTCCCTTGCAGCTCACAGGGAGGGTTGCAAGGATGTACACAGCAGGCTCTTGGTACCACCTCCGCGAGCGAGGAGGCTGAGAGTGACTGTGCCTCCTGCCCCGAGGCCCTCTGATGGTGGAGGGTGGCACCTGGGCCTCCGCGGGGTCTGCTCTTCCAGCCCTGGCAGCCTGGGTTCTCATCCAGGGTGGTGTAGGTCTGTCTCTTCATGCCATTTCTTGAAATTTCCGGAACACACCGCCCTTGACTGAGACCCAGGCCTGACCCACTTTATCCAGGACGCCACTCTGCAGCAGACGCCGTCTGTCGGCAGGGCTGAGCGTCCCAGCGCGCAGGTTGGAGGAGGCAGGTGCAGCGGAGCCCCTGTTGGCACGAGTGACAAACCCGCTCCAGAGAGCTGTCTTTCGGATCCACCACCCCTCCTCTGTCCTGGGAGCTTAATTGCTTCGGGGAGCGTGGATTCCTGTGTGTCCTAGATAACACGGCCCTCCTGCCAAGCAATTACGGCAGACGGCGGGGTGGCCAGTGGGGGTGCATGAGGAATTGAGGGCTGGGAGCGCCATAGCGAGTGTGGGAAAGACTGGACGTGGCCTTTCTAGGAGGTCACACCACAAAGAGCTCATGGGTTCGGGGAAGAGCTGCCCGAGGCTCTGCTTAGAAGGGACTTGTGGGTACAGGGTCTAGTCCTGGGTCCCCAGGTTCCCAGGAGTCCATGGCCCACGGGATCAGGTGTGATGACTGCCATGTTGCATTCTGTTGTTCCCCTGCTGCTCTCGGGCATCCTGACCAGAACTCCCCACGGCCGGTCATAGGGTCTGCAGACTGAGCTGGAGGGGCCCACGATTCTCGGTCAGGGAGCGGTCACACTCAGGGCTCGCCTCTGAGACTGGAACCAGTCTGGACAAAGGCTCTCCATCTCTCTGTTGGGTGCAGGGCAGTAAGGGCGCTTCCTGAGTCGGTCTGACGACTCGAGTAAATGTTTGTCCAGGTGCGTTTTCAGTAGCAGATTTTAGGGAGGGTGCTGCCACCCATTGACTGGGCTTCTTCACCTACTCCACCCCACAACAGAGTCCACAACACACCCTGAGGGTGACAGAGGTGGGCTGCCTGCCCCCGGGACCGCTGGTGGCTTCAGATGGAGTCAAGCCAGAGCTGTCACAGATGGAGGCCACTTGACTGTTGGGACAGTCAAGTGAATTAGAACCAGGACGGGAAGCAAGGGGTGGGTGGGGGTGGGGACAGAGGAGGGTTACTGTATCGGGGGGCCCTGGGCTGTGTGCAGAGGGTGGGAGACGCAGCATGGTGGCCAAGGCAAGGCTTTGAGGTCTCGCAGCCCATGTGTGGGTACCTGCTCAGAGAGCCGCAGACCTTGCACCTCGTTTGCTCCTATATTGATGGGAGGTGACCCTGCTACTCCAGGGACCTGTAAGGTGCGTGGCTCACACGAGGTGGGCTCCAGCGGCTGGTTTTGTTTGCTTTTTATGAGGCACTTCGTTTGCTCTGATCCCTGAATTCCATCCTCAGGCTGTCTAGGCACCGCTGGGTTTTTAACCCTGGGAACCCAAGGCTCAGGACGGTTCATGAGCCATGTGTGTCCATCCCCTGCCCCTCCACCCCTGCCAACCCCCATCCCGGGCAGCAGGTGGCTGGGCCAGGATCAAGTCCCGTCTGTGTTGGCAGAGCCCTTCTGTAGGGCCTGGACCCCTGGGCGCTCAGCCCCGCCTGCTGACTGTCCTGCCCTGGCAAACAGGAGGGAACTGAGGCAGGAGCTGGCTGGGGCGGGACGAGGGAGTGGGGTGTGTCGTGGGTGCCTCCAGGCTGCTTAGCTGTGAGCCATCTGTCCTGTCCTCCCCTCCCTGCTGGGCCTGGGGACAGGCAGACAGCCTCCACGGGGACAGACTCCCAGCGCTGCTGCCTGCCCACTGGAGTCAGGGCTTGGTTTCCTTTCTGTCAGGGGTGGGGGGCTTCCAGCACTGTCCCCGGGCTCTGGGGACTCACTGTGACGTTGCTAGCTGTTTTACACACCATGGTCGAGGTTGCAAAGGATGTTTCTTTGGACAGACCTTTCAAAGTCTGGCCGGTCCTGTTCATTTCTGGTGTCAGATTAGAGGCTCACGGCTGCCACGCTCTGTGTCTTCTTGAACCCGGGACCACTCTGCTCGGCAGAGCTCGGGCATCATGCCTGACGGTGTGTAGTTGGAGGAAGTCGAGTTCAGAAGCAGCAGACGGCTTACACAGACATCTGTGCGGGTGGTGGGGACAGCACCGTTGATGCTGATGAGGGAGTAACACCGGGGGGCACGGGGCATGTCCTGCCCCCCAGACGGGGCCTGAGCCATCTGTCCCGGGCCTCTGCTCTAACCGCTGTCTGTGTGTTTCCCAGATCGTTCTGCTGAAGGACCAGAGGAAGTGCTTCAGCATCGACAACCCCGGCTATGAGCCCGAAGTAGTGGCCGTGCACCCGGGCGGTGAGACAGTGGCCGTCGGGGGCGCGGTAAGGCCCTGTCCCCACATGCTCTGCCCTGGGGTCTTTGAGTGATTTGGGGGAGGGCGGTCAGGGCTGTGTTCCAGGCTATCTCCTGCCGCCCAAGTGAGTCTCCCTGGGCTGCCCCCCGCCCCCCCCCCCAGGAGACCAGGGTCCCAGCAATGAGTGGGCTGTGCTGGGGGCATAGGGCAGGGAAGCCCTCAGCCTGGATGTTGGTCCTGGAGGCAGTTGGGGGAGCCTTGTGGGCGCAGGGAGGGGACAGGGGAGCCTTCACACTCATGCAGTGCAGCGCCCGCCAGAGGGCTTCAGTTTCCCCGAGTCTGACTTCCTGTCATCATCCGCTCCTTCCCCTCACCTCCTGGCCCCTGAAGGGAAGTGCCTGGACCCCACAAGGATGGGGCGTTTGCTAGGAGAGGGGCCTGGTGCCCAAGGGGATCTGCCGGGCTGGTGAGGGGCATGGGGTACGGGGCACAGGGCAGATGGTGAGGCTAGGCGCACGGTCAGGTTGGACGAGGGGCCTTCGCTGGAGACCTGATGCCTGTATAGGTGCTTCTCAGAGCTCGGCCTGCGGACACCTGACCAGAACCTACCAGAAGTTTTGTAAAAAAGGCAGTTTCATGAGTGCCTAAACACCCATATCGCAATGGGCGGGTGAGGCTGGGATCCACAGTTTAATGTGATTGTAAGATCTTTAACCTCTTCATGTAATTCCGCCCACTATGCTAAGCCAGCCACCAGAGCTGCTGCTGGGTTGTAGCATGTGTCCTCTGGCGCCTGGGGATGAAGGGGCAGCTCTCCTGGCACCTGAGCTGGCATGTGGCCAAGCCGGGCAGTGGTCGGGCGGGGAGGAAAAGCACTGCTTCTCATGGATACCCAGGCTCCTCCCTCCAGGAGGAAGGGCATCGGGAGAGTGTTGGGGGTATGGGTGGGGTGGGGTGGGGAGGGCACACGTGTTGTCTGTGGGCACGTGCACCCATGTCAGGGGAGTGACCCACCGCCCCCCTGTCCTCCCGCAGGACGGGAATGTCCGCCTCTACTCCATCCTAGGCACCACGCTGAAGGACGAGGGCAAGCTCCTGGAGGCCAAGGGCCCCGTGACCGACCTGGCGTTTTCCCATGACGGTGCCTTCCTCGCTGTGTGCGACGCCAGCAAAGTGGTCACGGTCTTCAGCGTTGCCGACGGCTACTCGGTGAGTGGTTGGGCCCCCCCCGCCCACACCAGGCAGCACAGATGGCAGGAGGGGTCCACAGCCTCTCTCCCTGGTCATCACTGACGGGGTGGATGCACAGGGCCAAGGAGACTTCCCCTGCCATCCAGCAGTTTGTGGGCTCATAGCAAAGTTACCCAAAAGTTAGGGGCCTGAGTGGGAGCGAGGCTGCTGTGAAATCGGGCTGGTAGGTTCACCTTGGCCGTATAGCTCAGTGACTCCTGGGATCTTCTCTGTCAAAGGGCTTAAGCTAGGTTTTTTTTCTTGGATCTCATTGCCACTTAAAGTCTTGCCAAGTGTGAGTGCGGGTCGTCCCAACGTGGCCTTGCACTCAGGGTGGGGGTCCCTGGGCAGTAGATGGGTGAAAGAGGACCCCAGAAACTCATCCAGCCCTGAGTAGGACAGCCGATGGCACTGGCCTTGGAGGCGTGAGACACCCTGAGACCTGTTTCACAAGAGACTGCACTCCGGAGGGCTCCGGTCACCCTCTGGGTGTGAGGAAGCTGTGTGATTGAACCGCAGGGCAGATGGGGCGGCGGGGAGTCCCTCCAGGCGCCCCCACCAAGCCAACCTCTCTCCAACCCCACCTCCAACCCTTAGGATAGGTTTGAAATTTATAACTGAGTCCAAAGAATTTGCCACCTAGATTCTACCATTACCATTTTACTGTGTCACGTTACCCATCTAGTAATCTAATTTTTTAGTGCATTTAAGTGTACATTTTGCTATTAAGTATATCAGCCCACATATTAACTAGAGTTTAGTGGTTTCTTAGTTTTATTTTTGGCTGTAAAATTTACATGTAAGGAAGGATGAATGAGAACATAAGCATACATTCACACTTTGTGTACGCCTGAGGCCCACACCTCCGTCAACATAAAGAACATTTCACCTCCCGGGAGGTTCCTTCCACCTGAGTAGCACATTTATCAAATCCTGCGTTTATCGCCTCTTAAGTGATTTTGTTTGCATATACCAAGTTCACAGCATGCTGAGTAATCAGCAGAGTAGACTCAACAAAAAATGGAAGAGGTCACTTGAAAGTCACGGCTAATCTAGGAATTAAGAACAAGGTGGAACACTCGAAGTAAAAGCGTTCCTTTAGTTAGAGAGCGTTAACTTTCTGTCCACGTTGACCCGTTTGGTAAGACAGCGGCTCGAGGCTGGGACACGCTGTGGACAGATGTCTGCCTGTAGACCACGCTCCAGGGCAGTGGCGCATGTCTGCGGGGCAGCCACTTCCTCCGTCCATACACGCACAGGGCCTGGTCCATGCCAAGCAGGACCTTCTCGAGCTTTCCATTCCTGCTTTTCTGACTGTCCCCTCCCTAGGGCAGAGAGATCTGCAGGCGAGTGGGCACATGTGGCCCATGGATACATGCTAGGAGGACAGCCCCAGGGCCCCAGGGTCTTGGAAGGGGCATTGTGGCTGCTGCTTGATCTTGGGCTGCCCCTTTCTGGGCCTTTGAGCCCCCAGGGCACCCTGGGGGTGTTACGAGGGGTTGGTGACTTGGTGAGCAGCCTGACCCTCTTGATGGTTAGGTGAGATGATGCCCGCTCACTCTGGCCCAGACCCTGACCTGCCACCTATTTTCAATTCACATCCAGGAGAACAACGTTTTCTACGGACACCATGCAAAGATCGTCTGCCTGGCCTGGTCTCCGGACAACGAGCACTTTGCCTCAGGCGGCATGGACATGATGGTGTACGTGTGGACCCTGGGTGACCCTGAGACCAGGGTCAAGATCCAAGGTGATGCTCCCACCCACCTCTGGCTCCCTGACCAGCTCCGGAGAAGCGTCCCCAGGGCCTGAGGGTCCCTTCTGTGCTTTTGGGGAGGTGGCCCCCTCGGGAGGCCTGGCCATCCAGCAAACATCTCTGCTGGTCTAGGCGAACATGCAGAGGACACCTGTGTGCCCAGCGTCCATCCAGGGTGGATCTCAGTTCTCCTGTCCCCATCCCCCCACCTCCTACCACCTCATGTAGGCTCTGGTCCCTTTCCCCACAGGGAGCCTTTTATATTGGATATAAATGGAATCTTCTACTATTCAAAAAAGTTCTATGTCAGTCCCCCCCACCAAGAGCTCTTTCTCAGGTAGTGGTGGGGGAGGGACACCGGTGGGCTGTCCCCCACACTGGTGGGGGTGGGCAGGCGCACTTGTTGGTTCAGGATGGGAGTGGGGAGCAGAGCAGACTTAGATGGGCCATCCTGGTCTCCGCAGGAAGCAGCGCTGGTTTTGTAGGAAGACTCAAGTTCAAGGTGCAGCAAGGAGCTCTCAGAGTAGAGGGTGGGAAATCCAGTCCTTGGGTCTGGGGAGGGGTGGGGGGGGGCGGGTCATAGGTCACTGAGTGTGCACTGGCCTGAGGTCAGGCTATTGTGTGTGGGGGTTCCCTAGCCTTGTATTCTCTGCCTTTCTATTCATTGTAGCCTCCATCGTACCAGAATTAACACTGTAGTGTCTGTGTGTTTGTATATTGTTGCCTCAGGCACAGACAGACAGACTTGCACCCCTGGGGGGAGGGGCAGCTCCTCCCCCCGCAGTGGGCGGTTCGCGGTGGTCTGGACTCTGCTGGCACCAGGAAGCTGCCGCTGGGGGTGGCTGGCTGCAAATCACCAAGTGTCAGGGGTCCCCCAGGGGTGGGTAGGGATGCTGAGGAGCCCGGCCTCTGCCCCTCCCATCACCCAGACTCTTCCCCACTGAGAAGAGGGCAGGGGCATCTGGTTGAGCAGGAGGATTGTGTTGGGTTTCTCCTGCGACCCCTGCGGGTGATCTCGGCACAGGGTGTCTCCGTGGCCACAGAGCTCAAAAGCCACCTCCTTCTTCTCCCCAGATGCGCACCGGCTCCACCACGTGAGCAGCCTGGCCTGGCTGGACGAGCACACGCTGGTCACGACCTCACACGACGCCTCTGTCAAAGAGTGGACAATCGCCTACTGAGGAGCCCTCCTCACACAGACCCAAGACCGAATCAGGGACGCGGGGTGAACGCAGCTCCGCCTCTGTCACTCCTCTCTCTGCCCCGCCCCTGCCCCACCTCCCAGGGGAGGGGCCTCACCTCGGCCCCGCCCCCCGGGAGGGAGGGGCCCCGCCGCTCACCTGCCAGCTCGCTGGGCCATCCTGTCTGTCCCAAGTTCTGAAAGCTTTAGACCCTGACCGTTTGCACATGGGAAATCAAGCGGGCACGTTCAACCACGTGTGGCGCCTGACTCAGACCCACTGCTTGCCGCCCAGAACATTCCAGAGGCAAAGCCTCCGAAGCACACAGACCCTCCCGAGGCTCCCGGGGGCCCGCCGCCCCTCGCGCTCCGCGCCTGCGGGTCCTTGCCGGTTTCTGTACCTGCCGGAAGGGGGGCCGGCAGGGCCGATGCTGTAGAGCAGGTGGCGCTGCTTCCAGGCCGCCGGGCGCACACGGGACTCCGCGTTCCACTGTCGGTTTTTGTGCTTGATTTGAGAATGGATCGTGGGTTTGTTTTCTCTTTTTTTTTCCAGTGTATCTTAATCCATGCCTGTCAGTGTTTACTGCGCTGCCTCCAGGCCTTCGGATCCCTTGTTGGCGGGACGGGAGGCTCCCTGCTCACCAGTTCACTTGTGCTTTGATGTTTTTTCCTGTCTTCGATCCTCCTCTGCCCTCGAGAGAACAGATTAATTTAAAAGGCAAAGATGGAGTCACTGTAAACTAACTCGTCCTCATTTACACCTTCCTTTTCTTTTCCAGTGAGGAAATTAAAATAAGTATATAAAGCACGGTGATTTGGAGTCTCTTTGCGTTTGTCAGAATCACTGGTAAAATGCTGGCTGAGAGCGGGCCCTCCCCTTGCACTTGTGAAAATACTTTGAGCGCTTTAAGAGATTAGACAGAGAAATAATTAAATATCTTTTCTCTTCACTGTGGGTTGCTGACTTTGTGTGGTGGGGACACGTGGAGGGGGTGCTGGAAAGCTACATGGGACCCCATGGCCTGCAGCCTCGGGAGATGACTCAGGAAGGCATGGAACCTCAAGATCCCCTCCTGCCCCAACTCCCCGATACTGTGTGTCCTGGACCACCTCACTTCTCTGCACCTGAATTTGTCTGTGAACTGAAAGCATCGGACAGGTTGAGCGCAGTCCTGCCTGGCGCTCAAGTTCTGTGACAGTTTGTGAGCTTTCTGGTACTGCCTTGAGAAGTAAAAAATAGTATGCATTCCGATGTTGAAAAAAACTAAATTCCCAAGCGTTTAAATTAATAATGGAAAGACTATCTTATTCTTGGCTAGAAAGACAGCATCGTAAAGACGTCTATAAATTTGTAGGCCCAATAAAAAATTTCCCCTTCTGTTCTCATTGCTTCTACAGTTCATGTACAAAAAGGAGCTAAAAGTGGAAGAGAAATGTTAGTCTATAATAACTGAAGTGAGGGTCACCAGAGGACACAAATACAGAACTGCTTTGTTCCGTGTGAGTTTGGACTGGGGCCAGGTACCTTCACATCAGTGGGGAAGTGACTGTTAAGTAAACTGGGTAAAACTGGCTAACAGCCTGAAAAAGCAGAATTTTTTGCCTTGTCACCAGATGCAGACCCAAGGTCTAAAAGCAGATCCAAGTTTTGAATTTTAAACAACAGTTTTAAAAGAGTGCTGGAAGGAAAGATGCAATCTCATATGGTACACACAAGCCTGAGTGTTCCTAAGAATGACAAAAATAACAGTCAAGGAGAAAATACTGGTACTGCATTGAAGGGGGTTGGGGGAGCGGTGGGCGGGAAACACCATAAAATGTTAAAATATGGCAAATGGCATCCATATTTTCAGCACATGCTACGCAGCACTGAAGAAGCAGTTTAGTAAAGTTGATATTAGTTATTCCTTCATTTTAAAGTGCGAATATAATTACTGTGTGAGGTGAAAAATAAAGACTGTCTCCAGGGAACTGGGGAATCCACTCAGTGCCATCCCTGGATCACGTCCTGTTGAGCAGTTTCCTCCACTCTGTCCCACTATCTGATGTGGAGGGAGGAAAGTTGGACCAGAAGTAAGGATGCCCAAGTTTCAGGCTCTTTTCTGTCACTTAGTAGCTGGACAACTTTCACTTCAGTCAGATCCCCTCCGTGGTTCTCAGTTTCTCCATGTGTTCATTCATTTCTTTATTCAAACAGTTGTTTTCCTGAGCATTGTGTCTAGTACTGCATTAGGTGCTGGGAGAAAAAAGGATTAAAAAGAATATCAGCTACTACTCTTCACTGGGGACCACATAAAGGTCAGGCAATGTGCTCTTTACCAGATAAAACAGAAGCCCCAGTTACATTTGAACCTCAGATAAGCAACACATCATTTTTTAATACAAGTACATCCAAAAGTAGAAACTCCAATACTTTATCCAACTGATGAGAACCGACTCATTGGAAAAGACCCTGATGCTGGGAAAGACTGAGGGCAGGAGGAAAAGGGGTTGACAGAGGATGGGACAGTTGGATGACATCACTGACTCAATGGACATGTGTGCTAAGTTATTTCAGTTGTGTCCAACTCTTTGGGACCCTATAGACTGTAGCCAACCAGGCTCCTCTGTCCACGGGATTCTCCAGGCAGAAATACTAGAAGCTATTCCCTTCTCCAAGGGATCTTCCTGACCCAGGGATTGAACCCAAGTGGCAGACAGGTTCTTAACCACTAGTGCCACCTGAATATAAATTTGAGCAAACTCTGGGAGATAGTAAAGGATAGGGAAGCCTGGCATGCTGCAGTCCATGGGATCTCATACACGACAGCAACTGAACAACAAATATCCCAAATATTGTGCAAACATACACAAAATAGTATTCATTGTCAATCTGAAATTTAAATGTACCTGGACATCCTGTATTATTTATTCTTTTTTTATTTTTTGCTAAACATGGCAATCTTACATATATTGTTGTTTCGCATAATTCTCACAATAGTCCTATGTGCGTACGGAGTCTTATCCCCACATAATAAATGTTGCAACTGAGAATTATCAGCTAGGTAATTTGGAGCCAATGTTTGAACTCCTTCAGAGAGGAGAATATAGACTTGAAATCAGATTATACCCGGAAGTTCTTTGTTACATCAGAGTGCAGATTCAAGACCAAAGAGTAGGAACTTCCCTGGTGGTCTAGTGATTAAGAATCCGCCTTCCAATGTAGGGGATGGAGGTTCAATCCCTGGTTGAGAAACTAAGATCCCACATGCTGAGAGGCAACCAAGCTCACAAGTAGCAACTTCTGAGCCTCATACTCCACAATGAGCACCCTTGAGCTGCAGCAAAGACTCAGTACAGCCAAAACCAAAAGACCAAAGAGCAGAAGACACAGGCAAATTATGGTTCCACAGTAGGATGTGCCGTCTTCAAAGCAGTGAGCTGCCTGTCCACGTTTCTATGCCTGAGATTGATGGCAGCTCGAAGAGTTAATTGAAAATGCTTAAATGAAGGGCTACTTGGAAAGATGTGAGTGAGGTTAAGGAGACCAGGAGGAGATAGTGATGGTGAAGCACCCGGGAACTCACTCAGCAGGACTCTGGGCCTGAGGGCACACAAGGAGTCACTAGTACCAGTACCCAAGGAGATCAGTTCAGTCAAGTTTAGTCGCTCAGTCATGTCTGACTCTGCAACCCCGTGGACTGCAGCATGCCAGGCTTCCCTGTCCATCACCAGCTCCCAGGGCTTACTCAAACTCATGTCCATCAAATCGGTGATGCCATCCAGCCATCTCATCCCCTATCATCCCCTTCTCCTCCTGCCTTCACCACCCAGGGAGAGTGGTGGTCAAGAATAGGACTTGGCGCCTCTCACAGGCCAACCTCAACAGGAGCCAGAGAGCCTGGTTGCTCCCCTTACCAGATCTCTGACTGTCCCCCTTGGCAACTGCTTTCAGACAGGTCAGAGCAACGGGGGGCTAACTGGGAGTCAGTACTGTGTACGCCTCCATGAAATCATCACTGTCCCGGCTCCTGCCCATTGGCTCCACCACCTTCAAATGGTATCATTCATTCTCATGCCACTGCCTCATCTTCTTCTTGGTGGCTCTCCCTGCAACATCATATCTGCATTCCAGGAAGGACTAAAGAAGGAAGATGGAGGAGGAAGAAGTGATCCTTATATAAAGACTTCTTCCTGAAATTACTACTGGTTTCCAATTGGATCTCATTAACTGGAATTGGGCCACTGCTCATGTAAGAGGCACTGGGAAACATGTATCTTAGTGGGACCCTTTGGCCACCTTGAACAAAATTGGCAGAGCCAGTTTGTGCTTCACCAAATACGGGTTGGGCCCAATGTTTCCAGCCTCCTTGCAGTTAATATGGAACTTGGAGGAGCAGAGGACACCACAGGTGGACAAATTAGGCTTGAAGCAAGTGGATATGAGTTGAGATGCTCAGCCCAATGTCATTTGTGGTTCATGAAATAAGGTCAAGAAATGTGCCCCCAGATAACTCAGCTTTTTGACAATTATGCCTTCTTTAATTCCTCCTTCCCCCTCTCCCTTTTATCCTTTCTGTTATAGTATCTAGTTCATTGGGTATGGAAACACCATTGATAATGTTAGAAAGATGCAAAGTACTTCATCAAAATGATGCCAGTGCTCAGTCTTGGCCAAATTTAATGGCCATAACCACTCTTTGGCCTGGGAGAAAACCACCTTTATGCTCATCTCAGCCACAAACACATTTCTGACTTTGGTTGACACAGTGTAGAAAAGTACCACCCATTTCTTCACTTTCTGATGAACAGCTTTATCAATTCTTTGGCTTTTTGGACATAAGTTGTAAAATCTTCTCTAAGTGGTCCCTGTCCATTTCAGTTTTTCAATCTCCCTTTTAAAAATCACATATTTATTTATTTGGCTGCACCACATCTCAGTCGTGGCACCCTGGATCACCAGGCAAGTCCCTCAGTCTGCTTTTAACTGGAACAAATATGTAGCAAGCAATGTCATCACCAGCTCTCAGGGGACAGGCAAAGTCTTTACTGCCATGAACTGTTCTGTGCATCACAGTTGGCCTGGAAGTGTCTCAGCCTCTACCCCCCACAGTAGTGTGTAGCACCACCAGGAGCACCCCTGCCCCAGTTGTGACAACTGAAAATCTCTCCATATATGGCCAGTTCAGACAAGAGGCTCTCTTGTTCCAGTTAAAAGCAGACTGAGGGACTTCCCTGGTGATTCAATGCCTAAGACTCCACACTCCCAATGCAGGGAGCCCAAGTTCAATCCCTGGTCAAAGAACTAAATCCCACATGCCACAACTAGAAAAATAAAGATCTCACACGCCACAAAGAAGATTGAAAATCCCAGGTGGCACAACTAAGACTCAGTCCAGCCAAATAAATAAAAAATACATAACTGCTTTTGCTGCATCCCATAGATTTTGGACCATTGTGCTTTCTTTTTCATTTGTTTCTACGTTTTTTTTTTTTTAATCTCCTCTTGGATTTCTTCAGTGGTCCACTGGTTGTTTAGTAGCATATTGTTTAGCTACTACATGTTGTGATTTTTGTTGTTTTTTTTTCTTGTAGTGTATTTCTAATATCTTAGCATTGTGATCAGAAAAGATGCATGATATGATTTAAAATTTCTTAAATTTACCAAGGTTCACCTTGTGGCCCAGGATGTGGTCAGTCCTGGAGAATGTTCCATGTGCACTTGAGAAGAATGTGTAATTTGTTGCTTTTGGATGGAATGCTCTATACGTAATAATTAAGTCCATCTGGTCTGTTGTGTCAGTTAAGGCCTGTCCTTTCTTATTTTCTGTCTGGATGATCTATCCATTGATGAAAGTGTCAATGTCCCCCACTATAATTGTGTTATAGTTAATTTCTCCCTTTATGGTTGTTAGTATTTGACTTACATGTTGAGGTATTCCTATCTTGGGTGTATATAGATTTCCAACTG